AGATAGCATAATTCAAACTAGTGTATTATCTACAACATTAATTTTATTTTCAATCAAGAATATTGATTTTCAGCTATCCCTAAATTGTATATAATTTAAAGATTGCAAATTAATTTTAAATTCTTAGAAAATATCAATTTTATTTGTTTGAGATTCCTTAGATTTAGATTTATTTTTTTTACACTCACAACATTTACATTGTCAGCAATTGAGTTTATTCATATATCTTACTTGATTGATTTTCTATTATTTAAGAAAAATGCAATACTGATTTATTAATTTTTTTTTTAAAGTCTGTCTTGTTGACGAGAAAACCTTTTATGGGGTTGGACTGGTTGTTACACGGTGAAGACAAAAATTTGGTATCCTTCGGCTTAATTAACACAATTCATATCTACAGAGTTCAATTTTACTTCAATCAAATCAAAATGTAATAAATGGTGAGCCAAAGTCTTAAAAAGTGTGACAACCCACCCCCTCTTCCCCCTACTAAGCCCACTTTTAAACAAGTCATGTGCATACCCCTCTTAGAAAAATAATAGTTCTCAACCTTTGTGGTCAAAGCACAGCGGCAATTAAGACGGCGGCCATGTGATACGTCATGGCGTATCCTCTTTGCAATTACCAAATCATGAAAACCCAATTTATAGTTTCATAGAATACACTTTTCCACAATTTATTTGAGATGTGAATCCAAACCAGAAACTTAACAAAAACACATAAATGACGTCATGGTGCATTCTCTATTCTTCGACCCATTATTTCTTTATTTTATAATTATTTTTGCCATTTTTCAATTGTTTTTGTTCATTTTCATCGTTTTCTCGCCACACTGTGTAAATGAACTAAATGCCACGTGTTTTTTACTTGCGGCTTTGGGGCTAGTTTTAGGGTTTGAGGTCAATACCCAGGTTAGGTTTAGGGATAGATTTAGGGTTCAGGTTAGGTTTAGGCAGTGGCGTAGCAAGGGGGGTGAGAACACACAGGTTTAAGAAAATAATGAAATGAAAACAATTAATGGATGCATGACTCTTTCTGCGAGAAGAAAAGAGAAGAGAGAGATGTTCAATATTTGGTGTTTTGAAACTCATAGCTAAATGGGACTTCCTAGAATCTCTTCCTATGCTCTCACTAAGCCTTCAATTGTCTTACGATATGTGTGTCTGTGGCTTCATGTGAGCGGGGTTTTCAAAAATAAGGCTTATCAAGACCTATTTAAGATCAACCATGGGACAGTCATGGCTTTCTGATCTGGCTCTACTATACTATAAGTTGAAATTGATACGGTTAAGGATATTGAATTCGATCAAGTGATTGGCAGATTTGCAGCTTTGAATACCAGGAAAGGAAAATTTTTAATAAAGTAAATAAATAATTTTAAAAAATCACTATAACTTAACGTTGTTACTTCTTCTTCTTCGATATTTTGAGGGCCCACGATCAATGTATCGATCATTCTGGCTCTTTTAATTTTAAATACAGTTCTTAAATATATATACCTCCTGACCTTTAATTAATTTGTTCTTGTCATTGTTATACTGTGGACATATTTTTAACAATAACAAATCCATCTTGGAAGTCGGGGTAGGGGGGGGGTGTTGCACCATGAGTTTACCGCACCGATTGACACCGATCCTAGCTACGTCACTGAGCTAAGCAATTAATCTTCACGCCAAAACACACAAACATATTTTTTTTAAAAAAGCATTACCCCACCCCTATTCTTGAAAAATAGGAAAAATTGATTTTTGAGTTGGGGCTGAAAATGTGATAGAATGTGTTTTCATCGGCAACGAGTCTGTGCTTGGTTTTAGATAGATAGATGGACGGGAAGTGGATCGGTTAGCCGTCCGAAGCTTTAGCCAGCTAGCCACGGAAAAAGCAAAGTTAATATACAGTTTTTCGTATCAATCCTTTATAAAATGTAAATCGACCAATATGGAAAAAAAAGTGGGGGTTATAAGAATCCTAATGAGTGCTCCTCCTTCAATGCTCGCAATCGTACATTTGTTCACGCCCCTGAATTACTTTAATATTCTAATGACCCACCCTCTTTTACATCGCAGATTTATTTCACCAACTATTTCAACAACAAAAAAATAATAGGCTACGCTTCAAACGCGTTTTTGATATTTTTTTTTTAGAATATAATTATAAATATAATTTTGTGCAGTTATCTGGAATTTTATTTCGTGAAATCTGTGTTCTGATATTTCCCGCCATCTTCTCCTAAAATCTGTGTCCTGATATTTCCCGCCATCTTCTCCTAAAATCTGTGTCCTGATATTTCCCGCCATCTTCTCCTAAAATCTGTGTCCTGATATTTCCCGCCATCTTCTCCTAAAATCTGTGTCCTGATATTTCCCGCCATCTTCTCCTAAAATCTGTGTCCTGATATTTCCCGCCATCTTCTCCTAAAATCTGTGTCCTGATATTTCCCGCCATCTTCTCCGAGAAAAACAGATCAAAATGATTGTTGGAGGGTGGGGCTGAACATTTGACAGAAAGTTTTGTCATCGGCAACGAGTCTATGTGTCAGGTTTCAGCTCTATTGGTGGAAGGGAAGTGGGTCAATTAGCCATCCGAAGATTTTGCCAGCCAGTGACGAACAAAAGAGAAGTTAATGTAAGGATTTAAAAAAAAAAAGATTTTGTTAGAAATGACTGCTGCCCCATGTCACAAATTCAAATATTCGACATTCTATAAATAAAAACGTCAAAAATGACCGAAAAACGTCATGAAAATATGCATTTCAAAAACATTCTTTGTTTACTGGCCAGGTTGTATTTCTGTCTTATTTCCTTTCGAATAAACTGTCGTTCGAACACATCTCCCCAATTCTATCTCGCACATGTAAGACTGAACACAAGATTATTAAATTTTTCCGTTCGACCAAACTTCTGTCGATCAATTTTCCGTGGACCAAATTTCTTTCAAACAAATTTCCGGAGACGATCCACAGTAGGGAATCCACTCCTGACTGAATTATGTCAAAATGAAAGGAAAGCTACCACTTCGGCATTCCTGGGACAGCAATATGGTTGGCTACTAGGGTGTGGGCGAGGGTTCGAGAACAGGGATTCCCAAAGAGTCCTTAAGGGCATCAGCTCGGGCCACTGACACCATTCTTTATAAATGATTTTCAGTATTAACATTATTTGTACGGTTTGTATATTTTGCGCACACTTCAAGTCTTGTATTAAAATTAAAAAGCAATTGAATAATGTAGACGTAGAGAGTGGCATAGGATTTACTCATTTAGAATACTCTTTGAGGCGACCAAATCAGCAGTTTATTTTAGCAATTAAAAAAATGTATAACTTTTTCATTTACTTTATGTTTACACCCAAACATTCACCAACAAAACTGAGCATCCAAACATGAAACTAAAAATACAAAACAAACGTCTTGATGATAATTTCATCACTCTGACTGACCAATCCATTACTCTGACTGACCAATCCATCACTCTGACTGACCAATCCATCACTCTGACTGACCAATCCATCACTCTGATGGACCAATCCATCACTCTGACTGACCAATCCATCACTCTGACTGACCAATCCGTCACTCTGACTGACCAATCCGTCACTCTGACTGACCAATCCGTCACTCTGACTGACCAATCCACCAATCCATCACTCTGATTGACCAATCCATTACTCTGACTGACCAATCCATCACTCTGACTGACTAATCCATCACTCTGACTGACCAATCCATCACTCTGACTGACCAATCCGTCACTCTGACTGACCAATCCGTCACTCTGACTGACCAATCCATGACTCTGACTGACCAATCCATGACTCTGACTGACCAATCCATCACTCTGACTGACCATTCCATCACTCTGACTGACCATTTCTTCACTCTCACTGACCATTCCATCACTTTGAATGGCATTATTTAAAACAAAGAAAGCTCAAATATAATATTACAAGATATTTATTAAGGCAGATTATGAAAACCATTACCATGTTGAATACTTTACACAACACTCAGTTAATGCATGGTGTATTTGTTGACAAAATTCTCTTTTATAAAATAATCACATTGAGAGATTACAAATGATTTTAAAAAATATTATTTTAAAAAACCTGTTTCCCTTTTTTAAAAAAGTAATAACAACCACACATTGAAAATAGAGCCCAATAAAAACAAGAAATAGTTTTAAAATAACATTTCTCTTGTCTCGAATTGTTCAGTGCCATACAAGAAGGGGCGTAGAAAAGGGGGGTTGGAGGGGGCACATATTTTGGGGCAGAATTTGTGTTCCACTTCAAATACTTCTTATAGCTTATTTTTAGTGATTACACGGGGGGGGGGGGGGGGGGGGGGGGGGGGGGGGGGGGGGGGGTCAACAGACTTTACCCACTCTGCCACATATACATATGAGCAAGAATTTAAATTAACCTTCTAAGGAATAATAAATAAGCTATGGAGAGAAATGTACATACATTTTCTTGATTATATAATTAGCAAAAGAGAAAACTGAAAGATTTGTTTTGAAAAAATCAATGATCAAGTAAACAATGTTAAGTAAATAATGCTGCACAATATTTTGAATTTCTACAAAGCAAGAGTATTTATCATTACATGAATGGCTTTACTCTTGTCTCATTTTGTAAAACAACACATCTAAAATATATAAGGAACAGTTGAACATATTGGATGGCAATGGTTTAAAAAACTATTTGCATTCATAACACTAGTAAACTTTATAATTATGAAGTATTATATTATATAATTTGAACATAATATAATAAATAAATCTTTAAAAAATGTATTTCACCACACTCCTTGTATCAGGATATTACATTTACTTCAAAAGTAAATAAATTAACTACAGATTTTAAAACACTGTTACACCATTTTCTAAATATTTTATGGGTAAGATCTATAACGATGATAAAAAATATTTTTTTAACGGTTTATAAAAATTTGTAATAAATTTCAGCACAGGAAATAATTATGAAACAAATATACAACTTAAAGTGTAGTTTTTTTGTACTGATATTAATTTAATCAATACTTTGGTTAAATGCATGTTTCTATTCACATTCAATTATAGAGAAAAATATTATTTATTATAGATTCAAATTTTACTCTAACAATATAATTATACAATTTAGTAAAAACAGTTTGAGATTTTTAAATAAATTGTGCATGTAAAAAATGAACACAATTGCTATAAGAATGTATATAATAAATTTTAACACCTTCAAGATCCTGTGGTTTATTTTAATTTTAGTGTTCTGAGATTGACAATGCCTAATCCAATAAAGTGTTTCAGGAAAGAACAATCTTCAGTGTAAAAGTATACTAGGAATGTCTATGAAACTGCATTTTCATTTATAAAACACCAAATTTTCTAAGTTTCACAGTCGTTTCAAAGGATTTTTCCTTGTTTGATTTTCAAATAGGGCTCCGTAACATAACATATGTCATAAATAATTATTCCATAAATTTAATATTTAAAAAGTAACAAGAAATTAATCAATAAATGTGAGTCAATAACAATTTGACAATGCATGAAATATAGAGTAGAATTTTTAAGATACAACAAAAGCACCATAATTTGATTTTATGGACAGAAAATTATGAAAACCATTTGAAAAACAATACCCTATAAAATATGTTTCTCTTATTCACATTTAACTATTAAAATTTAAGATCAAAATCTTTGATTTCAATGTTTAGTAAACAAAACCATCCAAAAGAATGAGGATCAAACTCCTCGGTGCAAAATTACAAGATATGATATAAATATCTCTTTGATGGAATCCACACCTGAGATGACTCAGTTACAGCAAATTATGGATACACTAGCAGGTTTTAAAATTAATATTTGCATGTGTCATGAGCAGGCCTGCACAACAGAGGCCCGCCAGCACCCACTTTACGGCCCGCGAAGTAACCAAATATTCTTTATTCTCATTATTTTCTAAATAGCTTTGCGCCCCACCCCACCCCCAAATTTTATTTTGGCCCGCACAAGTCCTGTCTTATTTTCTTTTGGCCCACACAAGTTTTTCATTAAGTATTACGGCCCGCCTTACATTTTGAGCTGTGCAGGCCTGTGTTGGAGCAAATTTTAAAAAATAAATGTAAATTTAAATACATGCGACAATTACAAAAATAGTTTTTGCCATATACTGGAATGCACATGGTATATAATAATTAATTTTTTTTTAACTCTCAGTAACCTATGTATGGAATCAAGCTTATAATTTGTTATAATGTATGTTTTGATATTCCAAGAATCTTAGTACAGCACACAATAATATGTTTTTAAATGGGAATGTCACATGTGTAAAATATTCAGAAAATGTAGAGTTGTTTTTTCTCCTCCTAATTCTACATTTGGAAAACAAATTTAAAATGTAACACATCCTAAAATTAAAATAAAATGGGTGGAAATAGTAGCACAAGGAAAAAGCCTCAATATATTAATAAAATATTAAATGTGGTAGCCAGAATTAAGTTAAAACAAAGATGCAGGAAATGCAGCCATACTTTAACTTTTGGATAAATGCTATTTTTTAATAAGACATATCATATATATTTTAAAAAGCCACATTATAATATGATGTCAAAAAATTTCCTCTATAGAAAGCTTAGGCCATGTCAGTTGATGTTAAATTTAAATAAATAATGTAAAAAAAAAAATGTAAACAACAAACACTAATAAAGCAGTAATAATTATTTGATGACTATTTAACAGTGGGGAAATTTATCACAGCATATATTTTTTCGTTGAAGAAGTTAGGGTAAAATGTAACACTTCCAGTATAAAATAGGAGTACAATTGATTATTCATTTTTCTCTTGTATGTCAAAATAGCATCAAACAAAGTATATTAATCAAAACTGCAAGTTTCATCAACTCAAATTCAGTTTGGTCATAGAAAAATATTAAAGTAATACAACAGCATCAAGAGAAACAATGTAACATTATTTGAAATAAAGGGAATGTTTTCAATAACAAATGTATGAGATACCATTAGAATACATTCATTATTTATAACCAACACCATTACAATGGACACATTAAAAATATTAAGTTACATTGTAAATTAGCATAGAAACTGGCAAGAAATTGTATTCACATGTGCTCCAAATCAAAGTAAAGATAGTCATGTTACTTGTCATGATATAGAGCAGTCTATCCTCACACAATGATTTTACTACCAACTTGACCATTAATGCTTGACTCCATTTATAATCTTGAAGCCATTTGGATTCTTAGTTTGCCAATTCCACAGATCTCGACCTTTAAGCATCAAGAAATAAATAAAATTAACAGATGTAAAAAAGAATCTTAAATCCTTTTCTTACATACAGCGTCAATCAAAACAAATAGTAAAAATGCTAAAGATTTCAATACTTTTTTAAATCCATAATTAGCATGTATCCATTATCAAAGCTATATAAGACAGGATTCTCCAGAGCAACAGTTTGGTTTTAAATATTAAGGTGCCAATCTAACTGAAGTTTAGCAAATTACATTTAAATGTTATCCTTCACTGTACCCTGTGGGTCAAAACCTTGTCTATTGTGCCCTGTAAATGCCTCATCTACCCAGCGCATTTATATGGGAACAATAAAAAGGTGTTCTGGACATAATTTTAATATTATGGACTATGGGCCAATAGAAAGCAGCATCCTTGTAAGTATCCTGTGTGTGGGCATTACCCCGTGTGTAGGCATTACCCCGTTTGTAGGCAGTACACTGTGGTGGGCATTACCCTGTGTGGGGGCATTACACTGTTGGTGGGTGGGCATTACCCTGTGTGTGGGCAGTACAATGTGGGTGGGCATTACCCTGTGTGTGGGCAGTACACTGTGGTGGGCATTACACTGTGTGGGGGCAGTACACTGTGGGGGGCATTACCCTGTGTGTGGGCAGTACACTGTGGTGGGCATTAGCCTGCGGGTGGGTGCGCAGTACCCCGTGGGTGGGTGCGCAGTACACTGTGGGTGGGCAGTACAATGTGGGTAGGCAGTACGCTGTGTGTGGGCAGTACCCTGTGGGTGGGCAGTACCCTGTGGGTGGGCAGTACCCTGTGGGTGGGCAGTACCCTGTGGGTGGGCAGTACCCTGTGGGTGGGGAGTACACTGTGGGTGGGCATTACACTGTGGGTGGGCAGTACCCTGTTGGTGGGCAGTACCCTGTTGGTGGGCAGTACCCTGTGGGTGGGCAGTACCCTGTGGGTGGCCAACATCTGGTAACAAATAAAGAATAAAAAAATAAGCCTGAAACAATGACAAGAACCTTTAACCTGCATAATATGTTTACCAAAAAAATCTGTTACTCAAGGATTATTGTTCTGATAGTTTTGGCTCTATGGGAAATCACTCACTGTTTTTGCCACAGGAGAATATCTTGAAAGAAGGCATAGCAAAAAGTGCCTCCTTTCGGGAACGAGTAAACATTTTTCAGCAATACATAACTTCAAAAATGGTTGATATTATAGTGATTTAATCACAGATGGAAGAAAAATGAAGAAAGACTAATACAAATTAAGATGAAATAGAAACTTCACAAAATACCAACTTCAAGCAGCAATGTCAAGGAAAATTTTGTGTCTCATCTAAATTGAGATTTCATGGCTAAAAAACAAGGACACAAAGAAAAGCCAGTTAGCCCCAATCATAGAAATTTGGGATACTTTCCAAAGAAATCTTAGCTGACACTATGTTCCCTGCAGTAACATCAAAGTTGAAGAGCAGCTCATCCCATTTTGCGGAAGGTGCACTTTCCAACAAACCAGATAAGTATGTCAACAAGATTTTCTGGGCATGTGATGCAGAAATGTCTAATCTGGTGAAAGGGACGCCGTATTGGGGGAAAGAGGCACCTCGACCAGGAGACAACAGCAAGACACAAAATCTTGGAGCAAAGACGTTCTGGAACTTGTTGAGCAATTCAATGGCAGTGGCAGCAACATCACAATTGACAACTGACTTGAAGCTTGCTAACAATCTCACAAAGCAATGCCTCACCATTATTCAGCCAGTAAGACAAAATAAAAGGTTTCTACCCCAACAGCTCCAACAGCCCAAATATCAAAAGTTGAATTGTTCAATTTTTGGATTTTCAGCAGAGGCCATTATCGTATCCAAACAGTCAAAAAGGAAAAAAAAATTTCACTCTATTGAGCACCATGCATGATGACAATGCTGTGACTCTAGGCGAAAAACTGAAGAGTAAAATTGTAATTGCCTATAACAAAACCAAAGGCGGCATTGGCTGCAAGGACCAATTCGCACACCTCTTTACATGCAAGCGCAAAATGAAGTGGTGGCCAACGGTAGTGTTTTACAATATTTTAGATTTGGGTGCTCTTTCCACAAGGATTTTGTGGTCGAAGCACAACCAGACAAGCAATACTGAAAGCAATACTGACAACAGACAGTATTTTATCATGGAGATTGTAAGGCATTTGATGATGACAACAGACAGTATTTTATCATGGAGATTGTAAGGCATTTGATGATGACAACAGACAGTATTTTATCATGGAGATTGTAAGGCATTTGATGATGACAACAGACAGTATTTTATCATGGAGATTGTAAGGCATTTGATGATGACAACAGACAGTATTTTATCATGGAGATTGTAAGGCATTTGATGATGACAACAGACAGTATTTTATCATGGAGATTGTAAGGCATTTGATGATGACAACAGACAGTATTTTATCATGGAGATTGTAAGGCATTTGATGACAACAGACATCAAGAAGAGGATGCAGCTGTCAAATGTAAGTCATTCCTTGAGCAATGTGATGGAAAAGTCTCTCTAAAGCATTACAGGTATTCATTAAGTCTGTGCACCCTCTGTCCCAAATAAGCCACATACAAATCTATTGACGAAACAGATGAGATGTGGATATTTTTTTCCTCTACATATATATAAACCGGTGGATTTCACCCTTGGGGTACTCTCAAGCGGGGAAAACCCAGGGTACAATGAAGGTTAAAGATCAATTATTTTCTTTTTTGCAATGTGTGGACAAAATAATTAATGAAAATTTAGAACTAAATAGACACACGCTTAACACTTAGGAGCCTTTTAAGATCATAAGAGAAAATTTCTCATAGTTTAAAACTAAAGAGAATTTCAATGTATGTTATTCAATGTATGTTATGCAATGTATATTACTCACACATATCATCAAGTGTGTGGATTGCTGTCCAGCCAAGCTCAGCTTCTGCCTTTCTTGGGTCAGCACACATTGTGGCCACATCCCCATCTCTCCTTGGAACTATCTTGTAATTAATCTAGACATTTAAGACATAAAATAGTAAAATAAAACAATCTTATTACATTGCACGCAACACTTAACATTCCATTTTTATTGCTGTTATATGGTTTTAGCAAATTGCAAAATTACAAAGTAATTACAGAGTAATTAATTTGACTAAATATTGAGGACTGAAGTATTACTATCACAAGCTTCACAATGATTGTTCACCAGTTAAATCTACCTTTTTTCCACAGGCCTTTTCAAACGCCTTGACCACGTCTAGGACAGATGAGCCTTTACCTGTTCCAAGGTTGTACGCCTGAAGCAGTCAACATAAAGGAGACAAAAATAACATATACATATAATAAAATTATTAAGAGACCTAATTATAATCTGATCAGATTATCTTATTTTATTTACTTTTTTAAATAAAGTTTTTATTTTGTATAGAGACCGACCGAAAGTGACTTTCTGAATTCAGCTGAAGCTGAAACTAGACCGAAAGATAAAAATGACTGGCCGAAACTGAAGCCAAAAGCTTAAAGTGACTTTTGGCCGAAACCGAAATATTTGTATATTTTGAAATTCATTCATGCATACATTCTACATACATCTATGGGGTTAAGTATCAACATTCATATTCTTTTTAAAAAATGAGAATATCGTGAATTTTAATAAATAAACATCTAATGAATACTTTGGCTTTTACCATTTTAATATAAAAGTAACTTAAATTTCTTTAAAATGTTTATTTTTTAAAGTAGTGTGGTAAGAGAAAGTTTGGACTCGAGGGGGGAGGAAGTGTGGCAAAAGTCATGAAAAATAGACCATTGAGTGCCCTTTACTTCTATACTATAATTACAACCAAGAACGTATACCTGATACTACCTACTATAATTATTTTGGCACTAATAGAGTCAATAGTCATCTAAATATCATTTATCAAGGCTATAAAAATATCATCACAATTTTGCAGTTATCGCCATACTAATGCTTTGTGCTGTCACAAATACCTGGCAAGATATCCCTGTATTAATATTTAGCCTAGAACTAACACACCAGTCTTTCCGTACTGGTGAGGTAATTATTTCGTTCGGCAACCAACCTCCCTCACCCCCATTAGTAGGGGAATTTTTTTTCAACCGGGTCTCTTAAAATTGTTGTTCCGACAGGTCTCGACGGAGATTTGCAAATAACATGTAAATTGTCGCCAAAATCATAAAAGTAAACAGATTTGCAGTGACCTACTACATAATTATAAGATGAACCCGGGATACATGCACAAGCGTGTTATTTTGTCAATAACAATGTTTTTGAGCATGATAAAGATGAATTTCAAGAAAAGAATGAATTGAAAAAGCCTAAAAGTTTCCTTAATTTAAACAAAAATAATAATGGAAATATTACCAATTCCTAGGATTATTCAATATTATTCACCTTAGCCTATGACAACATTGATGAGCATGATAATGATAAATCAAAATGAATATCACTAATGAAGGAATTAATTAACCTAGGGTTCCAAATTTTTATTTTTGAAAAAATTAAAACAAAATAAGGATATAAATATTACCATTCCATTAGTTGTTCTTCCACAAAACTATATACCTTTGCCTAGGCCTAATTGAAATTTTAATTTTTTGAAAATATACGACAAGTTAAGTCATCAAACAGCTGTGAGCAATTTTCGCTGAGTATTAATCATATAACATAGGATTACAGCAAGACGTCGAGCAAAAATGAATATCGGATTGTAGGCAGACAGACTGTCTTCTGGTAGATGACCGAAAACCTCAGGCACTTTTGGCCGAAAGTCTCAATCACTTTCTGCAGAAACCAAAAGTTAACTTTTCAGTTTCAGCCCAAACCAAAATCAAGCCAAAAATTATTTTTTTCAGCTTTGGCCAAAACTAGGTCGAAAGTGATCAAAAAGCAACTTTCGGCACCCAAACCGAAATTCTGTCGGTCTCTAGTTTGAAAACAATAAATGAAATCAAAATATGTAAAAGAAACTTTTAGGTGGGCGGAAATAAAAGGCATAATTTGCTGAAAATAGTCATGCTTACATTAAATCCATTGGTAGTTTTGACTTTTTTCATGGCTGCTATATGTCCTCTAGCCAAATCAGTAATATGCAGATAATCCCTTACTCCTGGATAATAAACAGTAAAGTTGGATGAGGTAACAAGATTAATAAGCTGAGACTTAGGGGTGTCAAAAAGCATTCAGATATATACATAGATGCAAGAAAGTATAGTGATGTAAACAAAAATAGATGCAAGAAATTATAGTGATGCAGAACTGTTTACCCTCAAACTCTTAAAATCGTACAATATCATCACAAAATCGTTTAATACCTTATATTTAGAGTAAAAAAGATGCATACAGTATATACTTTTACACCTCAAAATCGTACATTGTACGCCAAAATCGTAAGAGTAAACAAAAATAGATGCAAGAAACTATAGTGATATAAACAAAAATTAATTAAATTTAATAAATATGTGGGTAAAATTTATTGTTAAGTGTGAGTTTTGTTTTTCAAAATATATGACAGCAAAATGATCAACTATGATCAAGAGCAGGCCTGCACAAATCAAAGTGTAAGGCGGGCCGTAATACTTCATGAAAAACTTGTGCGGCCATAATACTTTATGAAAAGCGTGTGCGGGCTGAAACATGATAGGACAGGGGTAAAGCTATTAAGAAAATAATAATCATAAAGAATATTTTGTTACTTCGCGGGCTGCCAAGTGGGTGCTGGCGGGCCACATGAGTCCTGCGGGCCGTATGTTGTGCAGGCCTGGTTAAGAGTATAAGCTTTTTTCTTTAAATTAAAGCAATATTCATTCAAATGATGCTATATAAAAATGCTAAACTATTACCTGTCCCATCATGGGTATCATAATCATCGCCATAGACCATCAGCTCTTGCCTCTTTCCTATTGCAACTTGAGAAACATAGGGTGTCAAGTTATTTGGCACACCTTGTGGATCTTCTCCAATTATTCCAGAGCTGTGAGCCCCAACAGGGTTGAAGTAACGCAATACAACAGCACTCCACTCCTAGAAGCATATGTAACTTTAAATTTCAGCAAGAGGTATTCAGTAAATTTCATTTAGAAACGTATGGTATTCTGGAACTTGACAGTTTAAACCTGGTGTAAATGAAATTGCTATGAATCTTTCAATGATGTTGGATTTGTGGCACTGTCTTTCAAAATTAATTAAGTAAACAATTTAATGGACATACCGGTTTGATACGACAGATGTCAAATAAGATTTCTTCAACAAAGTGTTTAGTCTTAGCATAAGGGCTTGTACAGTTTCCCACTGGATGTTTCTCATCCATTGGTAAGTACTTGGGATCACCATAAACAGTGGCAGAGCTTGAGAAAATAATTTTTGTAACCCCACTTTCACACATGGCCTGTAATCATAAAAACATTACGTAAAAATTTGACATGTTAGAACAGAGTATATCTTTCATAAAGCTATAGAATTTAACAAAAATATATTTTTCATTTTGTAAGTTCTAATACAAAAATAAAGACTAGGTTAAAAAAAGCCTATTTCTAGGTAAAATAATTGAACCATTGTTTTAAATTATGTCTTATTATATGTTATTGCTGAATCCTGTTAAAATCATTGCATACATCAAGTCAAGATTTTAAAGAGCACAACCTTTTCCCTTTCACTCTATGAATTAATCGATCACATATTTCATGTGCTGGCTTTGTAAAGTCAGATGATGTAGACATATTTATCAGCTTTTGAAATTATTTAACACTTAAGCACACTAACTTGTAGTGTCATCATAAACCACTGACCTCTATTAAATTGATTGTTCCCAAAACATTGACCCTGTAATATAGTAAAGGCTTTGCAACAGACTCTCCCACTGCTTTCAAGGCAGCAAAGTGTATCACAACAGAGATGTCAGGATGCTATGGCAACAAGAGAATTAAACATTGATACAATCAACACATTATGGTAATTCCTCAAATGTAATTACATAATTTAAAAACTCAATAATTTTTCCCATGGTGACATTAACTATAAACATATTTAGTTATGAGCAGCTTGTTGAATATCTCTAAGCTGATGCAAAGTTTCCATTCCATAGCCTGAAATACAGCGCATAACAGATAAGCATTTTTATATTGATTTACGATTTGGGGTTCTGGGCACAAATTTTTAAATATTCTGGATATGATTTGATTAATAGTGTCAACTTCAAATTTCATTGATTTTACTATTTTTGTAATAATTTTTTCTAAACATACTATATTCATTATCACCGGAGACTGAACCAACACGAAAAGGAGGGTACTACCGCATCAAGAAAACTATGCACTATCAAACTGACATGTATCCCTTCCTTGCACATATAAATTGTGCTTGGAACCAGTCTTTTACATGCATTAAGGCAAGGAGTATCTGAGTGGCTAGATAAAGAGCTTTTAATAATTTTAATTTTAACAAGTATTCAAATTAGTTAGTGCAGGATTTGTCTGCCTATCATTAATTATGCACAACCTTGAGATTTCATAATGGGTTACACCCAATGTAATTTCTTTGACATCTAATCAAGGAAGAATTCTTGTCCAATATTACCTTTTTAAAAACATCAAGGACCTCCCTTTTATTTAAAAGATCAACATGGTAACAAGGTACTTTTGACTTTGTAAGAGTTTCAATTCTATGTATACATTCTGCGAAGAAAATCATGGAATAAATGTAAATAACTGTTTTTTAAGCAGCTATGTAAATATTATGCATGCACAAAGATAAATAAATCATACTCATACTCCCTACATTTCACGCCAAATCTTTACAACACCCAACTCTTAAGGTAGGGCCAGGGAGAGATTGCAAGACAAATATTTTATGCAGATACTATATGTTAATCCCAGTAGAAGAAGCTAAATGTTGATTTACTCACAAAGGCCATAAAGAGTGATTTGCTTAAACCAATAATAGAATATTAGGAAGAACACACAAATATTAAGAACTATTTGAAAACTTACAAATTTAAAAAAAAAAATCAAAGTTTTTATTGCCATTAAGTTAATTTCCATATTTATAGACACTAAAACTTTATTTCTAAATACAACATTTAAATTTGCATTACTTTTTTATTTAAAAAAACAACATCCTCCAAAAATAAAAACAACAACCTTAATTAAAATTGTCAACATGAAAGCATGCTGTACTTTAGTTAGTTGAAAATATTTCAACTATTTGTTTTATTATAATTTCAAAACAGCATTGGCATTGTAGCTATCCCACTGAAGTGAAATACTGAGGTATAATAAAACTGCAAAAAACAACAGCAGTAAATGTAATTCCCCTGAAAATGAATGCTATAGAAAACTTACCTTCATTTCCATTGGCAAAGTTGTCTATGACAACAACATTATAGTTGCCTTCTAACAGTGTGATGACAGTATGACTACCTACATAGCCTGCACCACCAGTCACCAATACAGTTTCTTTCTGCTCAGTAGCCATTGCACAGCGATTCTTAAACCTAGTGAATGTAGAATCAATGAAGCTTATTAGCTTCCGCTTTAAATATTAAAACATAGCCCCCTGCATTGATTAATTTGGAGGTCTACTGCACTAGTTTTTTTTTTCTTCTACTACATAATAACATAGCTTACACTCATCCTTCTCAATCAATACATTTCTTTACAAAAAGTTAATTTTTAAATCTAAATCACATGTATATGGAAAAATGATTTGTCTTCTCTCAAATATAAGCCTCAGAGTCTGAGAAAATAAGGCCTACCCCTGGTTAAACATATACAGGGCAATAGTCCAAAAAGAAAATGTTCATTGCACATGAATTTGCTATTTTAAGTTTAATTTTGTAACTTAAAAAAAAACCAACAACTTAAAAAATGGTGCCCGGTCTTATTTCTTATAATTATCAATAAAAGAAAATCAATATTCATCAGTGCACCGTTATGTTATTGCAAACCAATACTTGACATACTGTAACATTCTAATGGGGGGAGTTTAAATATTAACATTGATATATTAATTTATGGTACTGATTATATAAAATTACTTTAATTTTTTTTAAAAACATACACTAACAAGGAAAATTCAAGCAGAAAAAAATCATTACAATATAAATTGATTTGTTTAAAACAATGTGAGATGAGTTTTTCTTGACACCAGAGTTCATACCTGGAGGTTAAATTTCAAGCTAGGATATCATTAAAACAGGTCACAAAAATATGGTGATGTTTATCAAATGACATTTATTGACACTTATGGCTTTGGAGTAACAAAATAATCTATCCCATCAAAATTTTATTTATAGCTCCTGTGACTATGGAGGCTTTACAAAAGATTACTGTAAATTGCAGTAACCTTTGGTAAAGCTTTCATGGTCACAGTTTGCTCTATCAAACCAAGTAGACATAAATAATTTTACAAAATTTTAAAGAATTTTTTTTTTATACACCGGTACACACTGCATTCTATAAGAAGTATTGTGAGACTTCTTTTAAACCCAGTTTGAAGTTACCTCCTTCAGTGACTCTTCACTGTCTACTTGACTTGCATCATGTTTCGCCAATTCAAAAAGAACAAAAATAGATGTACAAAGCCCTAAACATTTCTTAAAACCATTAGGCCGTGAAAAGAGGAAGCTTGTTTCATAGCTTTGAGAGGTGGTTGTAATGAAACATTATTATAGCTGCATGGATGAGTGGAAACATACTTGATGGGATATGTAGACTGTAGCTTTGTGATTGCTTACTCAACCCTGTATTACATTTCAACTAAAATGATTTTTTTTCAACACATCACATTAAATTATTTGGGGCACACTAAGAACATAAGCAGCTTAACATAAAAAAAGTTGATATTGATGTCTTTCAGTGCAATCATTCTTATTGAAAAATTAGGAACTTATTAGGGGTGGGTGTGCTTTGTCCCTCAAGTTACTATTTCTTAAATAATATTTTATTAAAGTAATAAAATGTAACAGTAAGTAAACAAATTGTTATTAATGATATCCATGCAAAACTCATGGGGAGATAATTATACCTCCAAACATAGGAATACTAAATATAATAGTTAAATGGGTCCCATTATGGTGAACTGATGATATATACAAAAAAAAAAAAAAAAAAAAAAAAAAAAATAAACTGCAAGGGTTAAGTTAGGATTGACAAATGAAGTCATTAGGTCACTTTAGCATTATTTCATTTCTTACAGCTTTAAATAATTTGAGACTGAAAAAAAATGATAAAAACAATAATAAATACTAAAAATCTGCTGCACTTTTTAAAGTTGTTGGAATATTTAAAAAAAAATATGATTATGGTAATAGATGGATATGAGATTATACATAGATCTGTTAAAATCAAGCAAGAACACAATTTCCAAGCAACAGTACACATTTATTAGGGCGATTGCTCAACTGCTTCTGCGTAAATAACAGTTTTTTAATCCCTTGCCAAGTTGTCTGCTGTCTTTCAAATTAAGTGATAATGAGCTTTTACTTTTCACTCAGGGTCAGGGTTAACAAGCCACTGCCCCACCCTCTCCAAGGAATAGCTTTCTTACTTGAGAGTAATTAATACTAATCATTGAATATTAATTCTTGTCTACCAAAGATATTACCACACAAGTCATAGCATGCATGATGGGTGGATTAAGGGAAATGGTTTTAAGTCCCCCCCCTCCCCTCAATCTTGTAGACATTGTGCAATTCCAGCAACTCCAATTTAACAGTCAGCATACTGATACCGTGATGCTAGAATTTACATATTATAATACATTTACCTTTTTCCTTAATTAAAAAAAAAAAATTTCTCACTGTGACTTAAAATTGAAGCACCATCTTTTGTAATCTTCAGCTCCCCCATCCCTACCATAAAATTGCTCTGAAAGTCCTGTTAAGGTCTAAATTAGCCTTAGTTAGTAGGCCATAAACCTCCACAAAATAGCTATTGCTTTTCTATAACTATAAAGCCATATCAATTTATGTATATATCAGAAACAATTGTGACTTTTGCATTTCACATTTGACAGAAGTTTCTATACTTCCAGATTACTTTTAAAAAAAATCAATACATGTCGGTGGTAAGTTACTGCATTTTCCAGGGACATCGCTATAGCAAGGTCCACAATTGAAAAGTTTCACTGAAATAGTAATGGGCCTTATATTAAATAGTACTAATAATAGCCTCAAAACCTGTAGCAATAATTTTTAATTTTAAAGTAGCATAGTACAGTAAAATCTTTTGTGGAGCTGTCAGTGTAGAGTAGAGAAGGATTTGGTGGATATGTTTCCATCAATGCTAGATTTAAAGATGAAAAAAATTGAATTCTTTTTTTATTTGACCCTAGGCTTAATTATGAAATGTTGTTTAATCCATGACCAGCCTAAATCCAGAGGACTCCCTATTAACTTTTTACAATTAATGCAAGCAGTTTCAAGTTTTTTTAATCATGGTTATTTTAACTTTATTTAACTTTTATAGAGTATCTTTTCTCCTGTAAAGCAGACCAATAACTTAATAACATTATGTTTGCTGACCACAACACTGTGAAACACATACTGGTGTAGAGATAATTATAAGAATAGTAAGAGATGGCTCAATCAAACTTTAAGTCAATTCAGACATTTGGGCAGACGTGAAGGCCGCTACCCACTAGGGAGAACAAAAAATTGGCTAAAGGAGACAATTAGTGACACGATGTCATTTACGTGTTTATTTAAGTTAATGGGTTAGGGTGCAGGTTAGGTTTAGGGTGGCCTTTCACAGGCAGTGGCAACTAAGATGGCAGCTGTGGCGCAGATTGTCTGAATTTATCAAAAAATGTAATTGTGTAAATCGAAACGCAAGCCTTTGAACAAAAGACAACAAAATTGTAATATTTTTGTTATAAAATTATAAAGAACTTAAGCTAGTTTTTGGTTTGCACCATTTCCATTACATTTTGTATCCTTTCACATTGGATTGCAAGTGGCAATACAATTATGAAAAGTGTGTAATATTTTGCTGTGCACACTTTTGGGAACCACTAGCCAGCGCCAAACAGACAGTTGATAAAACCTATGACATATTTTAACATGTTTACTGTGACATCATACTTGTCTATAAATCAATTTTATTTTTGTTGTTAAAAAGTAAAGGCAAAGGGTTGAACGTTTTTTTGTATGTTTGCAACAGGGGTGTCCAATGCCTATGAAGTATGGGTCAACAGGAGGGGTAAAAAAAGGGGGGGGGGGTTGGGATTAGCTTTTAAATCAAACAAAGATTCTCGAAATTTAAATTTATAAAAAAGTCAATTGAGATCAACGTTTTTATCTGGAAATAAATTTGAAGCTTATATGATGATGATCTTGAACCAAGCCAGCCAAATGTTTAATTTAAAGCAACCGTGTCAGTAGACCAAATAATTTATGGCCTCTCAAATCACATCAAGATATGTGAGTATAGTCATAATATATGGAAATATCCTCAAAGTCAAATACCTTGGCCTAGACATGTGACCTATCTATGACTTACTAGGCTTGAATGCAGTCCTTTAATTTATACTATGATAATGTAAGTATGTAATCAATTTTAAAATATATATAGGCTATTGCTATTAGCCTATATTTTTTGTGATCTCTCACTTTTTCTTCTACATTTTCCCTCACTACTTTAGTTACAGTGTACAAGTATTCTTCTTGATAGTTACAACTATTTAGGGGTCGTCCATTAATTATGTCAACAAAATAAAAGGGGAGGGGGGGGGGAGGGGGTTTTGGAAATTTTTGGAAATTTTTGGCAATTGTTGACAAGGGGGAAAAAGGGGGGGGGGGGGGGGGTGTTTAAATTAGTTGACGTCAACAATCATGTTTTCTCTTTTAAAATTTGTTTCCTAAAAATTGTCTCTTGTCCCATGGTTTTTAAATTTTTTTAAATAGTGGGCACGGGTAAAACATGGGAGGAGTGTTTGGTGTTTAGATTAGTTGACGTCAACAATCATGTTTTCTCTATTAAAATTTGTATCCTAAAAATTGTCTCATGTCTCATGGTTTTTACATTATTTTAAAAAAATTTAATGAATGTAAATTAAAATAGTTATATAATTTTTCAAAGTGGCTTTCAAAATGTAACTGGAAACGCATCACCGCTATTCGAACCCGGGTTCCATTAGACTAAAGGCTATTCGGATGTCATTTGTGGTAGTTTATTTTAGTTAATGAACTTAATCTAAAGAATTAGGTTTACAAACATATAGTTCATTCAATTATATTTCGATGCCAAATTTTATTTTACAAACTCAAACCCAACAATAATATTTTAAATATTTTTTAATAAACCCAACCTCTCACTTCTGATACCGGGTCCGAATAGCCGAAGCAATAATTTTTAGTTATATAAAATTTTAATTTGTTGATTAACAAGCTAATTAAATATGCAATAAAATGTTTTCCCTGCAATTTTGTGTTATTAAAATAATAGATCAGCACAACGTAAAATTTATTAATATATTTATTTAATCTATATTACTATTCATTTTGTTAAGGGAAGGGGGCATAGAAATTTTGACATAAATACTTGGGGGAGGGGGGGTCATAGAAAGTTTGACAGTCGTTGACGGGGGGGGGGGTGGTAAAAATTGGTTTAAAATTGTTGACGTAATTATTAATTAAATTAATTGACGATCCCTTATTTATTTAAAAGAATTATTCATTTTGTTAAGGGAAGGGGGCATAGAAATTTTGACATAAATACTTGGGGGAGGGGGGGTCATAGAAAGTTTGACAGTCGTTGACGGGGGGGGGGGTGTTAAAAATTGCTTTAAAATTGTTGACGTAATTATTAATCAAATTAATGGACGATCCCTTATTTATTTAAAAGAAAAAAAATGGTAATCTACCACTTGAGCGTCGGCCAAGAAAAAAATCCAGTTTTTCCGGTTGGAAGGGCTATATAAACAACTATTCTTACATTGGAGTCTGTTAATATTTTTGCTTCCGTATAGAATAGAGGCTATAAAGTTATATATTATATAGCATAATACTAATACATTCAAATACTTATTACTGCCAAGCAACCGATATGCCAGGAAGAAAAAGAGACAACAATTAATTTTTTTTTATTCAGATGACGCGGATGTCCACACACAGAATGTGGAAAACGTGAATGCTCACAAAGCATAAACTGAAAAGACAGTTTGGCACAAGAAGCGCAAGTGATCTTTCCCCTTCATATTTACGTGGATTCATGTACCACAACCGTTTTCGTGGAAATTATATTATTTAAAACTTCATTGTCAACTTGGGGGATAACTATGCATAATTCCATTTTCACACATCATTATCTTCTATTTCAAAAAAATTGTTATAATTTTTTTATTAAAAAAAAATTGTCTATTATGGGAATGGTACGTACAACCAATGTCATTAAAAATAATAAAAGAATAGTTGTTTAAATAGCCCTTCCAACCGGAACAGCTGGATTTTTTCTTGGCCGACGCTCAAGTGGTAGATTACCAAAAAAAAATAATTTCTTTTTTATGTCCCTGACTCAACTGTCAACTGAATGACCAGTGACGTGACAGAGACACGGGCTTATATTTATATTATATTTTTGACGCACTTAGTGTCTTTAGTTATTTATTTTAAAATCCTAACACTAATGAGAAATCTTACCTATGAAACTATGAATATTATTTAATCTATTATGACACACGAGGGGAAAAACTAACTTTAAAAATGTAAAGATAACTGATACCGTTGGTGATCAACAAGTAGTTGCGTCCCTTTTGTCTTTTTCCGAGATTCAAGTTTTTAGCATCTACAATCTATTTAGTCGATTACTAATAACTTTCAACCCGAAATCGAACCATTAAATATAAAAATCACATACAAGTCAATTAACTCTTAAATTACCCACACTTTACTTAAAGTTATTAAGAGTCCATTTTAGAAAATATTTTGAAATATAAATAATTAAAATTTATAAATTACACAATATTCACAGTCTAAAATAAAGTTCAAATAATACAAACAAGGTCAAGGTATAAAAATAGCCCTATTTTTAAGTTGTAGGGCGCAGGCGCCGTTGGGCGATTATTTTTGATCATTTGATTTTCTAGGTTACTATAATCTTCAACTTCAATCAAGGAAATATTTTAGCACAAAACAATTTCCAGGCATGGGCGCCCGCAGAAAACTTTCTGGGGGGAGGGGGGCAAAAAAATCGATTAACTTCCTGGGGGGGGGGGCGCAAAAATTTTTTAGTAATGTTTTAATGTAGTTTTTATTTACTGTAGCGTATTTATATGCTGAACGGACTGACAGGACATCAGCTTAGTTACTTTCTCTTTATTTTCTCCTTCCTTGATTACATTTTTTGTCTATTTTTGTCTAAAATTTTATTATCCAATCAATCCAGGAGGGGGGGGGGCAAGTTCCCCCATTCCCCCCCCCTGCGGGCGCCCATGTTTCCAGGCTATGTATTTCACCATCACACACTTAGATTCTAAGTTTGAACATTAACATGTATTTAGATGGAATTATACTTAAGTTATGAAATTAAAAGGTGATAAACTCAAAGTTGATTCTATTAATTACAATATTTAAATTTTGACTGAGAACTATGACAAATAGTTGAACCAGGCTACATGCAAAAATATATTTAAGAATCACTAAATCAAGGATTGGAATAAAAATATTAACTACAGTTTTCACTAAGACGTAAGAAGATGCTACTTACACTTGTTACATTTGAGTCACACGACATTGAAAAGTCTCTAGGATTACAAGTGGCTTTAAAAATTATTTGTAGAATAAAGTTCTTTATGAAATACAATGAAACGAAAAAGTATCTATTACATTTTTTCAACTATTTCAAACAACTTTTCCTTTCCATAGCTTATGAATATAAGTTAACACAGCATTTATTTTCTCTCAGTTATACGTGTTCTGCCGTAAACATAAAACAATATAAATGCTCAACAGTAGCCTATTCATTGCGGTTTTTTCTTTCCCCATTTAACAACAACTGCATCTATAGGTACCCGGGTACCTTTAATCGCAAATAACTATTCGCACACCCGGGTCATGTGTTACATATAATTTATAACAAACTGAATGATAATGACACTGTGAAAATATAAATTTGATATAATTTATTATATTATCATTGACTCTTTACACCGACAGTACAAGATATCAGTGGCTTGTACGCTGAACACTGCTTTGGCTTTAGATTTTTTGGGTAAAAATTATAACTTTTAATTATTTTTTTGGGGTATAATAACAGGGGTGTTTTCGGCCTCAATTGGTTTTATTATTAAAAGTGGTCATTAAAGTTGACTTTGTGATGAAGTAGATAAGTAATGGCCTATTAAAAGCCATAAAATATGGTTTTAAAAAAAGTTTTCCATTTTCAGTGGAAAAAGCAGACAAGTCACAATTTTGGGTCAGCCCGGTAAAAAGCTGTAAAAATGTAGTAAATTGTCACAAAATATTTAATAACTGATATTAAAGTAAAATGGTATGACTAACTACAAACAAAATTATAGCATTTTATTTTAGCAAGTGAAAATATTGGATACTTTCAAACTTTAAAATCCACTTTTCTCAAAATCTGCAAAATGTGACATGTCTGGTTTTTCCTCTGAGGTCTTAATATAGTAGTTACTATCCTAGTGTCTCATTTTTATTTTACTTAGTTTACATGTTTTTAATAATTGTAAAGCGCTTAGAGCTTTAAGGTAAGCGCTATATAAAAATGCCTAAATAAATATCAAAGTAGAGAGATCTATAAAATGTTTAAAAAATTATTTAAATCTACATATCCAATTGGGCAACCTTTATAACGTATCTTTGAAGACAGAAGAGATCTCATTGTTTTTCTCACAATGACTAAAGATTCATGAACTGTAGGCTGTAGGCTACCTTTTTTTTATCTTGTTCAATTTTGTTAAATTGATATTATTCATGAAAAAAAACACGCTATTTTAGGCCTTTAGTTCTATCAGGTGAAGAGGAAGTTTTAATTATATATCACTAGAAATAATTAATCGTGCTTAAATTTCATTGCCTTAGGCTAAGGCCTTAGGCGGCTTAGGCTTACGGCTTAGGCCTAGGCTTAGGCCTTCTTAAGTCTTGGCCTTGGCCTTAATTTTACCTTACCACCCGACTCATGTTTTTATATTTATATTGTTGCTTTACTTTTAACTTTAATTTACCCTTTACAGTACTTTACTTTTCCTAATTTAGGCGTGCTAGAACTAGAAGGCTGGCACATAATTCACATGGGGGGGGGGGGGGGGGGGTGGTGTTTTTTTCGGGGGGGGGGGG